TCCCTCACTGGGAATGAACACCCTGCCCATGAACACCATGAACACCCTGATCACCCCTCACTGGGAATGAACACCCTGCCCATGAACACCCTGCCCACCCCTCACTGGGAATGAAGACCCTACCCGTGCCCCCCCTGCCCACCCCTCACCCCCGCAGGACTCACCTGCCCGGCCTCCCGTGGTCTCTTCATGAACCTGGTGATGTTCATGCTGCCCAGCACCCTCCTCTTGGCGGGCACGGGGGTGCTTTGTGGGACGGCCGCGCCCGGCGCGGGGCCACCCTCCTCCTTCCCGGCGGGAATCCCGCAGGAGGAGGAGGAGGAGGAGGAGGAGGGCACCTGGGTGACGTAGTTCCACTGGCAGGGCACGGGCAGCTGCTCCTGCTGGAAGCTCCTGAGCACGTCCCCGTGCACGTACCAGCACATCCTGTGCTCGGGCCTCTTCTCGTACACGGAGCTCTCCGAGATGATCCTCTTTAGCCTGGCCTTGGAGGGGACCCCAATGTCCTCCCCCCCCGCGGGGGTCTGGGGCCGGGGGGGGCTCCCCTGGGTGCCCTCGGTCATGCCGTGGAACAGTCCCTGCCGGCAGCACTCCTGGAACTCCTGGATGATCACCTTGCTCCCGTGGACGTTGCCGTGCAGCAGCGGCAGGAGGTGGCCCAGGACTGGGGAGGAGAAAGGATGGACAGAGGTGTGGGGGGGGGAATCACTGGTTAAAAGCTCAGGGAAAGCCTGGCTGGGGTAAAAAAACCCATGGGAATGGTTTCTGGAGGGGAAAGAAATAGGTTTGGGATGAATTTTTAGGATGGGATTGCCCAGAGGAGATGTGGCTGCTCAAGGCCAGCCTGGAGAAGGGAGGGCTCCAGGGAGACCTTGGAGCCTCTTCCAGGGCCTAAAGGGGCTTCAGGAGAGCTGGAGAGGGACTTGGGATGAGGGCTGGAGGGACAGGACACAGGGAATGGCTTCAAAGTGAAAAAGTGGAGATTTAGATGGGATATTGGGAAGGAATTCCTGGCTGGGAGGGTGGGGAGGCCCTGGCACGGGTTGCCCAGAGAAGCTGTGGCTGCCCCTGGATCCTTGGAAGTGTCCAAGGCCAGGTTGGAGCACCCTGGGATAGTGGGAGGTGTCCCTGCCCGTGACAGGGAGTGGAACAGGATGATCTTAAAGGTCCCTTCCAACCCAAACCATTCTGCAATTCCATGATTGTAACAAGAGCTAAATCTGATGTAGGAAAATCCCCCTCAGGTGGAATCTTCACCCCTCCTGAGCCTTTCTATGAGTTATTCCCACCCTGGTGTTCATCAGGTGCAGGAGAAGCTCAGGACTGAAACCCAACACCCAAACCAAACCCTCTCCCTCCAAACAATCAACAGGGCCCTGGGCTCAAGCCCATCCTAAATCTGAGCCTGCTCAGGTCTTGTTGGCTTTATTGTCCATCCTAAATCTGAGCCTGCTCAAGCCTTGTTGGCTTTATTGTCCATCCTAAATCTGAGCCTGCTCAAGCCTTGTTGGCTTTATTGTCCATCCTAAATCTGAGCCTGCTCAAGCCTTGTTGGCTTTATTGTCCATCCTAAATCTGAGCCTGCTCAAGCCTTGTTGGCTTTATTGTCCATCCTAAATCTGAGCCTGCTCAAGCCTTGTTGGCTTTATTGTCCATCCTAAATCTGAGCCTGCTCAAGCCTTGTTGGCTTTGTTGCCTGGATTGTCCAGAGCATGAGTTTTTGGAGGGCGTAACTGAGGCCACACCAGCTGAATGAACACCCAGAAAACTCCTCTCCAAGAGCTCCCAGAGATTCCCTGGACTTCAGACTGGTCAGGAACAGGCCCTTCTGAGTGTAACACTCCATAACACCCCTGCTCTCCCCAGAGCAGAGCACAGCAGTGTGTAAAAGCACAACCCCTGAGCCCTTCAGGTCTTACTTTGCTGATCTCTGGCTCTTTTTTTGCTACATTTCTGGATCTGCTGCTCTTCCTCTGCCACAGGGGGGTCCAGGACACAGGCTGTGAACTGCTGGAGAACCTTGAGGTCGGGGTTAGTGCTGCTGTCCCGCTCTGCCCCTTCCCACACACAGCCTATTTTCACAGGCTGGAGGACGTGGAACCTCTTCCCCTTGGCAATGAGCTCATCCCACTCCTTGGCCTTCAGCTTCTGACGGACCTTCTGGTTCTCTGGGTCACACTCCTGAAGCCAGGGGAGAGAAAAGAGCCATCACACCCACACTGCAGGGAACAACAGAACCTTGGGGTCGTGTCCCCTGAGCCCCACAAAGCTGCTCCTGACCCGTGCAGGCCCCAGGGAGTCCCAGCCCCTCCCTGCCAAATATTGACATCAAACAATACTGACGTTTCCTCACTTGGGAACAGGGCAGGAAAGCCAAGGGCACCCAGAGTTCACTTACTTCTGTCACACCTTCATCTTCAGATAGGTACCCATGGGGTACAAAAAACCCATCGTCCTCATCTTCATCCTCTCCCTCCTCTTCGTCATCCTGAAAATAAATCCGTTAGGGATTGCACCCACGAGTTCCCAAATGGTTTCTCCCCCTCTCCCAGACGGCTCCCAAATCTACTTTTTCCTTCCCTCACCTCTTCACTGTGGGAGAGACTTTCTCCAGGCTCCTCCTCTTCCCACTCCTCATCGCTATCCACCTCATAATCCAGCAGTTTCTGCAGGAAATTCCAACACGTCCCCGTGAATAACTCAAAGGGCACGGCACCAAACCCCGTCCAGGGTCTCAAACCCCTCAGGAAGGGCGGAGAAGAGCACAAAGAACCCCAGCAGGTGCTTACAGTGTCCTTGGCCCAGGGATTCCGGGCCCGGATGAGGGTGGTGCTCTTGTTCCAGGTGCCCCAGTAGGCAGGCCGGTGGTTCTCGCTGAACTGCAGCAGCTTCATCCTCCCAAACTTCTCCCTCTCGGGAACGCCGTCCCTCTGGCAGTTGTCCACCACCACCACGTCGCTGGGGACACGGGGACGGAGGAGAGGTGGCTCCAGTGGCCCCACAGAACACCCCCCTCCTGCTCCCCGACGCCCTCGGCTCGCACGATCCCACCCGGAGTTTATCCCGTTGGCTTTAAGGTCCCTCCCAAAGCCGAACCGCTCCGGGATCCAGAGGCTCTCCCGGTTCTCCTGCAGGAATTCCAGCCAACCCACTTCCCCCCTTATCACCAGCTCAGTGGATTCCCTGGATAAACCATCCCATGAGGGCACGGGATTTCCCACAGGGAAGGATTTTCCTCAGTTTTATGCCCAAAATGTCACCTACTCCTTACCTCCATTTTTACTTCATAAGGATCATCCTGTCCCCTACAGATTAACTCAGGTTTTACCCCCAAAATATTCAGGATTCCCTAGATTTTACCACCAAAAAAACCTTCCCTTGTTACCTCTGTCTTATCCCAAAAATGTTCATTCTGTCCCCTACAGAGTAGCTCAGATTTCACCCCCAAAATATTCAGGATTCCCTAGATTTTACCACCAAAAAAACCTTCCCTTGTTACCTCTGTCTTATCCCAAAAATGTTCATCCTGTCCCCTACAGAGTAGCTCAGATTTCACCCCCAAAATATTCACTTTCTCCCACAAAATAAGTCAGATTTTACCCCAGAAATATTCAGGATTCCCTACCTTTCATTCCCCAAGAAACCCCTTCCTGGCTACCTCTGCCTTATCCCCAAAAAAGTTCATTCTGTTCCCTATATGTTACCTCAGATTTTCTCTCCAAAATATTCACTTTCCCCCACAGAATAACTCAGAGTTTACCCCCAAAATATTCAGGATTCCCTAGATTTTACCCCCAAAAAACCCCTCTCTGGTTACTTCTATCTTATCCCAAAAATGTTCACTCTTTCCCCTAAAAATTAGCTCGGATCTTACCCCCAAAATATTCACTTTCTCCCACAGAATAACTCAGATTTTACCCCCAAAATATTCAGGATTCCCTAGATTTCACCACCAAAAAAACCCTCCCTTGTTACCTCTGTCTTACCCCCAAAAAAGTTCATTCTGTCCTTTATATGTTACCTCAGATTTTACCCCCAAAATATTCACTTTCCCCCCCAGAATAACTCAGATTTTACCCCCAAAATATTCAGGATTCCCTAGATTTCACCACCAAAAAAACCCCTCCCTTGTTACCTCTATTTTATCCCAAAAATGTTCATTCTGTCCCCTACAGATTAGCTCAGATTTTACCCTCAAAATATTCCCTTTCCCCCACAGATTAGCTCAAGTTTTCCCTTCTCTGAGTTCCCAGACTTTCCCTCAGTAAAGCTTATTTTTCCTCTCTAAATTACCCCAAAAAAACCCCCAAAAAGCAGGTTTTGCTTCATCTAAATTAACTCATCTTAACATGTCACCTTTTTCACACGTCAAAACCATCCCAATTTACCTCAGCCTTTCCCTCCAGGACGTTCATCCCGACCCCTCCATATGGAATAACACAAATCCACGCCCTCAGGGGGGGGAAAATCCTCACAGAAAACGAAGAGTTCCAAGGAAAACTCCACCTTTCCGACATTAATTCCCACCTCCAACCCATCCTGGAACAAAAAGGGAAGGAAAGCTTCCCAAAACTCACCTGTTCACCGTGTCGTTGCTGTTCCGGACCCAAGTGGGGCCAGATTTTCGTGGTTTCCGACATTTGAGGTCCCTCAGGAAAGAAACTTCCCCGTTTTGGGCGGGAAGGAGCTTATCCAGCTGCTCCAAGGAGTCGGGATCCGGAGGGACGCGGCTGAGGGGAGCTAAAACCATGTTCTCCTTGATCTCAAAGGGAGCAAACTTCCCACAGGAGCCAGCGAGGATCTGGAATGGGAAGGGAGGAATGGCAAGGGTTGGAAGTGCAGCTCCCACCTGGGGGAGGTGGAGGTTAAGTGGGGATTCAGGTTAAGCCCTTCCTAAGATTCCAGTTCCGAGGTCTTTATGGAGAATTGGGAGTCTCTCCATGGAGAAGACACAGCTGAGGTTTTTATTAAACTGACTCCAAACTCCTCCTGGAGTCTCTGCTCTGGCCTTTTTCCTAAAATCCTTTACACTCTGAAACAAGGAAATTAAAGTTAACCCCAAACTTCTCCTGGAGTCTCTGCTCTGGCCTTT